GGAATAAAGGACTGAGGAGGTTGTAGGTCTGCGTCTGTCTCTGCGGTTGTGTTCACTGGCTCCTGTCCGACTCTCTTCCTCTCCTCTTGGAGCGACAGCAGCCAGCGTGGTGGAGCTGGTCCTGCTGATCTGGCTCTGGCCAATACGAGTTTCAGCCGTTATAAAGCCGTTTAAAGGAGCCAGTCGATTTGAACAGGCGCAGCGGCAGACTGTTGGAGGCTGTCGGGGCAGCAGCTGTGCGGTGCAGTACCGCGGCTTCGTCCACTGCAAGTTTTGTCCAGCAGTGTCGAATGCACCGTGGGCGTAGTCAGTAACCAGGTGTGACAGAGACCTGCTGCTGTCCTGTAAAAGGGATTTTTGACCTCAATGGATCAAATAAAGGTCAAATAAAAATGAATAAAATGATATTTTCTGCAATAAAGCCGAACAAAATAACAGATTAAAACTAAAAAAAGATGAAAAGGGATCAGAACCACGTTATCATGTAAAGGTTTGCTGTTATAAATATTTTATTTTATCATGTTACAATAACTTTATTGTTCTAATGTGAAACCTTTTAGGTCATAACAAGATAAACAGTGTATTATCATAACAAGAAAATACTTTGTTAAGAATGTTTCTGATGTTATAATGTAATACTGATCCGTCGGGTCTTTCTTACTGAATCCTGGAAACATGGCCGACATTAACCTGGGTGTGGGTTCTGTTTCAGACTGGACTGTTGGTCTCAGCAGCTGCATTAAAACTGCAGGTAAATGTTGAACCTGCTGCTGAACTATATCTAAATACTATATACGAACTAGGAACTAGGGCTGTAGCGACACTAATTTCTTCACGATCTATACACTTTACAATCGTTTTCTGACAGATTTTAAAGGGAACCAATGTGTCGATTTTGACATTCTTGTGATGTTTCCCCACTGACTTTTGGGATTGAAACTTTGAACTGAAAAACTGAAATTAACACAATTAATATGTTCTCTGACTGGACAAAATGAATCCAAACATGTTGTTGAGAAAAATTAGTTTCATTTATTGAAACAGTGCAGGACTGTATCTAACAATCCTTTTTGAAAAGTAAATAAAGTGCAGTATACAATTTCTTTTTTCTTACTATTGTTACCTGTAGAGTGCTTTGCATTTTGTTGCATTTTAGAATTTGCTTGAATTTATTTATGTTAGCTTATTGTTACTCTTTTTAAACCTGTTATTACTTTTCCACCTTTGTATTGCCAAAACTGTTGCAAACAGTAATTTTCCCTCGATAGAAATAAAAAGCTTTTGAATCTTAAATGTAAAAAAAAAGTGCAGCAAGTTGCCTGTTAACAGATTCTTCTTTCACACTGAACATATGACGGGAGGGCCAGTCCCAGACAACCAGTTTTCCAGTTAAAAACCACAACCCAACCATGGCTCTACCAAAAAAAACAGCCAATAATTCAAAGTCACTTAAAGAACAACATTTAAACATTTAACTTTCAAAATGCTCAAGCCGAGTAGTTTTAAAGGTCAAGGAAAGAAAAGAAGGCGTTCTGTGTAAAGGGGGTTTATCCCGACTTAACTTTAGAAAATGCTGTTACAGCGACCAACTAGCGGCTGGGCGACCTCATCGCTCTTTCCTGCCAAAGCGAAAACCACGGGGAAAACGGGCAGCGAGGCAGAAGTGCCAGGCGAAACCGGGGGATTTGATTGGGGACTTAAATGTATCGGATACTCATTGGGCTTTTGAAAAAAATTTCAATACCTTTCTGGGAAAACAATATCCATTAATATCAAACAGGATCAATAAAATTGCTCAGCCCTAGTGGGAACCTTCAGCGGAACAATGTGGGAGAGACGTTGTGATTATTTTGACAGATGTTACAGTTGCGATATGATCCAGGATCAGTTTAGGGGTGATCTGAACTAACTTTCACTAAAATATTAATTTTCATTAGTTGGGGTCTTAAATCTGCAGATGATTTGTAGCTGTAGCTGTTTGTCACATTTTACTTTCGTATCAGACCAACTGCAGCTTCCTGTGAATTACACACAGTGACTGTGCAGCTCTAATATATCTGTGTGTGTATATCTGTATATATGTGTGTGTGTGTGTGTGTGTGTGTATATATGTATATATATATATATTTACAGACAGATATGTGTGAGGACGGATTGTGCAGGATGACGTCACCCAAAATCGTCCAATCACATGACTAGGTGGCTTCGTTAGCTACAGACAGACGTGAGTTCAGACACATGCAGGCGGCTGATAAGACCTTCAGTTACACCACGTTCAGAGTCCACACTGACCCTGGATCTGTTCACTGATGGAGGCAGACTATTAATGGGGATCTTCGGTACGTTCTCACAGGACCAAAATGTCCAAACCCTAATCTCTCGCTCACACTATCTTCAGGCTACAGACGTCAGCTCGCCGCCAAAACGCGTTTTCTTGAGCTTTTTTTAGCAGCTGGACGAAGTTTCTTCCTGATACAAAGACATATTTCTGTCTTCGAACACAGTGGCGTTAACGTCAGATCAAATGTCCCAGCAGAGTCCAAAGTGCTCCACGCTAGTGCAAAAATAATGATGAATTACTATTATTACTATTACTATTATTAATATAATAACTATTATTAATGTAATTGTTATTATTATTATTAATATTATTATATGGCATTTTCCTGATGGCAGTCTATAGTGGGGGTCTTATGATGTGTTCCCACCTAACCCTGTAACATAAGCAAATATTGTCCCTTTAGTCTGTCTCACTGCGGCAGTTTGAGCCCAAAATAATCAGATTTTACTGTCATTTTATTTCCATAAAACTATGCTGAAATAACAACACCATGATGGAGATTTGTAAAACGAATTCAGACTGTCGGTGTGTCTGTAAGACGACGAGCAGACAACCTTAAAATGCTTGTTTTCTGAATGGAGTTTGGTTTTGTTGCTTTTCTTAAATATGGTCTTATTTTGTTGTATTGAGCAGAAGAATGTGCGGGGGGGGGTCCGACTGTCCCACTGTAATAAACATTAAAGCAGGGTCGGGGGATAAGATGGTTGGAAGGATGTTGTTCACTGTATTGAACTCTTCCCAGAAATCTTTCTTGTGAAGCACTTTTAAAATGCTTGCTTCTGTACGTGATCCACCCGCAGGAACAGGTTTCTGGGTGTTTGGTGCGAGCAGCATTACACCAGAGCTAACAGGGGCTAGTGGAGGCTCACGTATTGAGGCTAACAGTTGTTTTCAGCCAGGGCTAAGCTAATAATGATAATAGGGGTCAGGGCTATAATAAGGTTTGTAGGACAGGTCTCAGGATGTGGCGTGGTCTGACGGGGATGGGGGTCTGGACCAGGAGGTCGGGTCTGGTGAGTTTATGTGGACTGATGGGGACTGTGCTGGGTTTTGGTGTTGCAGTGTGTCTGCAGCTCTGAGGCTCAGATGAGTCATTCTGCTGCTGCACCATGACAACAGAGAGGAGGGGGGGGAATATTCCAGATCAGACCATCACTGCACACACAAAACCTAATGCTGGTTTTAAGAGTCCTCTTTGTCCCCCTTTAGATGTTCTAGTCCAACATTTGGTTCCGGCTTTGGGATTCTAGCAGCTGATTTCAGTCTCGACCCTCTAACCTCACACAGCTCCTCTGCTGGAGATCATTCAGGGACCCGAACTATCTGTTCAATCTGGACGGGTACAGCAGCAGCAGCGAGTGAAACCAGAAGATCTGGCTCGGCCTTGTTGGTGGTTGAACGTCAGTATCACAGAGCATCATTTAACTGTGAGAGTACAGCAGGTGTAATCCTTTAGGACCTGCAGTAACCCCAGTGTGTCTCACTGCACTGAATATCTTTGAGTTTGGACATTTGAAGAAGGTGAAAGGGACAGGAAGTTGGTGGTAGATCTCGCTCCTCTTCCTCAGAGTGATAACTGATAATGTGAACAGACTCTCTGTTGACTCAGAGATTTATCTAAAGATTCGTACCATCACTCAACATTACACGTCCTGTCTAATCGCCCAAAGCATCATGGGAACTGTAGTTCCAGAACTGAGAGCATCATTATCCCCAGAAACAGTAATATGAATATGAACGCAGGTCGTCTTTGTTCTCAGTCAGCTCCGTTTGGAGGCGGAGCCATGGGATGTAAGAAGTGACATCATCAGTCAGAGTGCCGTCACTGTGGCGTTGTGACAAGCGGCCGGCGAGGCGTAAAAACTAGGTCAGGAGTTGTAGTCAGGGTTACCGTAGCAACAGGATCAGTAGGTCACAGCTGCTGCTGCTCAGGCATGCTGGGAAATGTAGTCAGCTGTGAGGCGTCGCCTTCTAAAGACCCACAAACATTCCCAGGGTGCACTGCAGTCTCACTGATGGGGGCGCTCTTTTCTTCCTCTCTCTCTATATATATATATTAATTATTATTATTATTATTATATATATTATTATTATTATTTACTGTAACAATAAACACTACATTCCTACCATCATGTCATTCAGTACCTATCCACCATCTTGCCAACTTCACTTCTTTGCACCTTATCTACCTATTATCTTTTTACTTTCTACCCTCATGTACTTTATTCATGTGTATTTATTGTATTTAAATGTACCTGGGTGCTATGACGACCCAATATTCCCTTCAGGGATTAATAAAGTCTATCTATCGGGCGGCAGTAGCTCAGTCTGTAGACTTGCTTGGGAACTGTAGGGGTCGCCGGTTAAAACCACAGACCACAATATGGAGTGTGGGACTGGTATCTGGAGAGGTGCCAGTTCACCTCCTGTGTATGCCGATGGTGCCCTTGAGCAGCAAACTAAACCCAAGAAACTGCTCATGGCGCCGCTAACGTGCGAGCCCATCCCTTCCACCATCTCTCTCCCTGTTTGCATTTCCACAAGTGCATTAAGTTGTATTTCAGCCGTGTTTGTTTGTGTTGTAAGGATAAAAAAAGGAGTGAAAAGAAAAAATGTAGGATTATCTTCTTCATCCATTCTATCCATCCATCTATATATATATATATCTATATATAGATATCTATATATCTATATATATATATCTATATATAGATATATATAGATATATATAGATATATATATAGATATATATAGATATATATATATATAGATAGATATATATAGATATATAGATATATATATATATATATAGATATATATATATATAGATATATATCTATAGATATATAGATATATATATATATAGATATATATATATAAGATAGTGAAGGGGTAATGTCAGGGACTGAATGTGTGACTTGTGAAGTTAATACTCTGTCATCCCTGCTGCAGAAACGCAGATC